CAGCTTTAGCGTTGCTCTGAGAAAGGGAGGAGAGGTGGAGATGGGGCAGAGGCTGCGGGGGATGCAAAGAGGGACTGCGGGGAGGAGGAGGTGGCGAGGCACCCCGGTCGTGCCCTTCTGTTTACAGACTGTTTCCGCATCCAGGTCTTTACCAGGCAGATGCTTTTTCATTTCTGCACACATTACCTCAGTGATGGGGCTTCTAAAGCAGCATGGACCTCATGAGTTACCAGAATCAGAGATGCTCCCAGCTTTGCTAGGTCCTAGGACAGCGCTGTCTAAATTCCAAGAAAGAGATATAGGTTAGAGGTCTCTGCAGAAAAACAAAAGTAGGGAAGAGACAAACACTACCTCCATAGGTAGTGGGGTCCTAAGGAGAGCAACTCTTTGGGAGAACTGAGCCTCTGACAGCAGTGAAACGGGAGAGAGGCAGAGACCTGTCACCTGAAGGACTGGGGACTCTTGGCCAGACTTACTGCTAATGCTGTGAGGGGTGACTGAGGAGGCTATTTCCAGCCCCGGAGGGGTGCTCCACAAAGATTCAAGGCAGAACGAAATTTGAAAAGAACAAAGACACATTCTCACTGATCTCCAGGTTTTCACACTTGCCACTCCTTCCACGCCAGCTGACACTGTGTCATTGGTTTTTGCAAATTCAAGCCGTATTGAAACACAGCCATGCTCATTCTTTCAAACATTATCTATGGCTGCCTTTTTGCTCCAATGGCAGGGTTAAGTAGTTGTAACCAAGCTTTGTAGCCCATAAACCCTAAAATGTTTACTATCTGACCATTTCCAGAAGAAGTTAGCCAATCGTTACTACAGATCTATCTTAGAATTTTCAGAAAATATGGTGGATATAAGATCAAATCAAAATGGTGATGCCATCAGCCAGATCCAGAATGTTGCACATTCCACCCCAGCACTGAAAAGAGGAAAGGGATATTATAGTACACAAGAGAATTAACACACACAAATTCATAAAATTTGCCAAATGTAAAACAAGAGGGAATGAATGGCAGGATGCCTGTGAGTTCAAATGCAGATTTCTAAAAAATGTCACAGACTCAACAAAACCTGATGATTGAATCTGACCAGACACAACAACCTGTGAGCTATTGTATGGACGGTGAATGCTCCTTAATGCAGCTGATTATTATTATTATTCATTTGCTTCTCAAGCTTTTTCAAATTAAATATCAGTGATTTTATTGTCTTAGTTATTAATAGATCTATTTATCATGCCCAAGTCCTTTAGAGTTTTATCCTCTTGGATTTCTTTTAACTTGAAATAGCAGTGTTTTCCCCCAGTGAACCACAGTTGGTATATTCCCAAGATTAATCACATGTCATGATTGTCTACTGCACATTTCTAACCTTGTTAGTTCCATATGTACCATGTTTCTATTCTTTCCTCTGTTGAAAACACCTCATTTAGTACCATCTGCAAAGTTTAATAAATTATTTGTTCTCTCAAAGAACTAATGAGAAAATGAAATGAAACCTTCTAAATGGTAACCAGAATTTGCATAGCTGAGTCTGTGACACTGTATGTGATCTTAGTGAAGCTGCTTAATCTCTAGGTACCTCTCCATTTCAGTACTTTTCACCATTCCTTCATTCTTTGCACTTATTTTACTTATTGTTTTTAGTGCAATTAATGATAAAGCTACCTCTTGCTTTTTGTAAGAATGAGTATCAGAATTACAGGATGGACAAGTTGATATACTTCTTTTCTTAAAAATATTTGTTTGTTCTCTTGAAAGTAAATATTTCATGAAAGAGTTGCTTGGAGGAGTTTATGCATGAATTTGTCTTTTTATTCTGCTGTCATTTACCCACACGGTGATTAAAATGTGTGTTTGTAAAACGCTAACAGTATAACTACAAAAAAGATGTGAAGTGGAAAAAAAAAAAAGATGTGAAGTGGTGCCTTAAATTCCTTCTAAGGAATAAAATTGGTTATAGAAGTTAAATACAACTATGTAAGATAAATGAGAATTTATCATATAAGCATCAGAATCTGTACAGAATTTCAAATGACAGATCCATAGAAAGATGCCTAAATGTCCTCTTTGAAAATTGAAGGGTAAAGGACTAGGAATTTCATGGCAAAATAGAGAAAAGACACAAACACAGCTCACCAAAAAGGTATAAAAATAGTCCATGTGTATGAAAATATTTTCAATAAAATCTGATATTATAAATATCAATTAATTAAAAGTTTCACATGTAATTAGAGAAATTCTAATTAAACCAACACTGAGATACAAGTTCTCATTATGTAATTGGTGATATTAAGAAGTATGACAACATATTCTGTTGGCCAGGCTGTGGGGGAATAGGAACTCTCATACATGGTTGAGAGAATGTAAACTAGTTAAAATGAATCAGGAAGTACAGGAAACTCAAAACACCCCAGGCAACAAATTTGGAAAAGAGTGTTTGGACTATATATTATAAGGCTAAAGACAAAGAACTACCCAATATCGTTACTAAACTTGCTTCTCACAGTGATATGTGGGTTTCCACTCACAATTAAGCAACTTCATTATGTGTATTCCAGAATGGATTAAGTAAGTAAATATATTGCAGATCATGAGAGTTTGGCTTCCCACTGCTGGAAAAAGAATGAGGCAGGCTAGAATGAACCACGGGGTGGGGATTTGGAATCAGAGGTATCAGTATGAATTCACGGTCTTTAATATATTCAGAGAGAGAGGAAAGAGTGTATGTGGAATGTATGTGTTAGACATACATTATACTAATATTTCCTACATTTTTTCCTTACAGGAGCCTAGAAACAGTGACATTTCAGCATTGAGCCCACTTGGCACTCAAATCTTGGTTTTAAATCATTATCCAATAAAAGGAGTATATTCTTGGCTGATTCCAGGACTGAGGCAAGAAAAATGCCAGAGGAGTCTGAAATGCATTGTGGTGTCAGAGAGTAAGGAAATGATAGGGACATCCGAAAAACACTTGAGGGAGCTTCCCTGGCTGATGCTAGGGAAAGCAACAATATTAATAATGAGACTAATAGGATGCAACATATAAATAAAATAAAATTCCATGATTCATACTCAGAGAAGTAAGTCATTAATATCTTTATATGAACCTTTTTTCCCCACGGTATATTCTTCTATAAAGGTAGGACGAGAAGAATTTATCTTGCAATATTGTTGTGAGGATTAATTAAGGGAAAGGGTTTGAAAGAACAGTGCAAACTACATGAAAGGTGTCTATAAATTAATTTACTTTCCTACCTAGAGGGATAGGAAAAGTGGGAGGTGGGAGGGGGATTCAGGAAGGAGCGGACATATGCAATTTACTTTCCTGCCTCATTTTCTTTTTACACAGTCATTTCCTAGAAAGCCAGAATATCACAATTTTGAAGTGAAATGACTGTGGAGTTTTGATTTAGTTTTAGAAACACGATCTTAGTCTTTTTTTTTTTTTTTAGCAACCTCCTTCAAAATGGAAGCATCTACTTATTGACTTGTCAGTGATAGTTAGCCTAAAATAATCTTGAGAAATTCACCATTTCCCCATGAATTCTGCCCCGGCTGCTTCTCCCCTCCAGGTGCGTTCTGGAAGTGATCCTGAGACAGGAGCCTCAGAACGCGCGATCCTGCTGCCTGCCCTGGACAGCTGGCCGTTAGAGAGCACTGCAGGCTTGCAAGAGGCGCCTGTCCTCTCCTTGGAGTTCAGCTCCCTGGGTAAGCAGCTGTCATCTGAACAAAGACGCTGATTTCCCGTGGAGGAAGTTTCAGCCTGGTTGGAAAACGTCTTTTTCTGTCCTGATAATTGGGTGGTCCTCGTTCATGGTTGTTATAAAGAGTCTGATGAAGCCCTATTTTCTATGCATGTTGTCTTCTCCTTGATTTAACATAATCCTTGAAGGCAGAGAATGTTTACACTTTTCTTTGATAATCCCTTAGCACCTAGTTTAATAATCTGCACACTGGACTTGATGCTATCAAGCCAGTTTTGGGTGCAAACTGACCTTAGGATACAGATATGAATCCAGTGTTCCTTCTGTTAGAGGGAGATAACCCTGTCTGCCTTGTACATATTATGTAGAGTTATGTGGTCACACCATTTCTTAAAGTTAGACAAACACTGTGATTTTTTAATAAGAGCTTTGAACTCTAGCATAAGGGTAAATAGCTCATTGAATGTACTATGACCTCACTTATTCAGCAAATATTTATCAAGCGTTCATGATACCCCTGGCACTGTGTTAGTAGTGAGGGTAAACAAGACTTAGGGGCAAATAAATGGTAGTATCTGCGCTCAGAGGTCTTGCACTCACATAGAGTGTGATAGATGTGTGAGTAAGCATAGCAAAGTGCCATGGTATACCAGCCGTGATTGCCACTCCTGCAAGATACACTGGCACTCAGGGAATGTCCAACAGTTCCCCTGGAGGTGTTGAAAAAAGCTTCACAGAGAAACTATCAATTTGAGCTAAGTCGGAAAGAGAACCCTGCATAGCATGATGAACAGGTAGAAGGGAGGCTTGACTGAAAACACGGAGATCAGTGCGGGGAACGATTCTGAAAGCAGAGGCTGGAGACGGGGAGAGCTGAGGCCACAGACGGCGGCTCTGAGCAGGGCTCGCCGAGGGCCGAGGCAACATGTATTGAATGCGTGAAAGAGGAAACTAATAAAGACGAAACATGTTAGTGTGGATGTGACAGGGAGTGATCGTTCATTCATTTAACAAGCATTTATTATGCATCTACTAAATGTCAGGCGTTGTTTTAGGTAATGATTACTCAGAGTTTATAAAATAGAGTCCGTTTTCAGGAAACGTGTATATACTGATGGGAAACGACAATAAACAAATGGTCAAATAAATATTGATCTAAGTCAGATGCGTATAAGCGATGTGCACAAAAATGAAGCAAACGACGGCACGAGGGGCAGCAGGAGAGTGGGCTGCTGATTTTATGTCAAGTGGCTGGGGAAGGTCTTTCTGAAGGTTTTTGTATCAGCGGAGAGCTGAAGGAAGGAAGGTGGGGAGATGAAAGGCCCAGAGGAAACAGGACGGCTCGCATTTCTGCACAGAGGGAGGGAGGGCAGAAAGGCAGCAGGGTGGCAGACAGGAAGAGTGGGGCGGATGCCCTGAGCAGGCCGCGGGAGGACGGCCTCCGGGAGCACAGCTGTCCCGGCCGTGTGCACAGACACTGGAAGGCGGCCCTGGGGCCTCCGCCGGCAGCTCCTTCGATGGCGGAGGTGGCATCTGCGAGGGCGCTCGGGGCTCCAGAGCCCTAGGCCGTTCAAAGGGAAGACTCAAGTGTCCTCTTTGTTGGCTTCCAAGGGCCACCTGGACAGTTTGGGAAAAGCAGACTGAGGCAGTGGCAAATGATGGCAGTTTGGATATGTTGAGTTTGAGTTTCCTAGGGGAGGGCCAAGGGGGATGGTTTATGTAGGAATCTGTAGCTCAGGAAAGACTTGGAAGTGGACGGAAGAGGCATGTGGTCACTGGTGACAGTGATCTGCGGGGAGGTACGTGGTCACCAAAGGAGGCGAGAGAGGAGAAGAGGACTAACGTCAGCTCGGGGGAATTAGCGACGTTTTAGACAGGGCAGGAATAAACAAGCCTGCAAAGAGGCTGAGGAGGAAAGGTGGAGAGCAGGAGAAACGTGGCGCCGCAGGAGTCGAAGAAGAGACTCCTCAAGAAGACAGGAATGAGGACTTCTCTGGTCCAGCGGTTAAGACGTGGGTATCACTGCCGTGGACCTGGGTTCAATCCCTGGTTGGGGAACTAAGATCCCACAAGCCATGCAGTATGGGAAAAAAAAGAAAAAGAAAAAAATAGCGCATCAGGAATAATCAACATTCGCCAGTGAGAAAATGCCAATGGGAAGTGAGAACACAAAGATACTGAACCTGGAGTCTTTTTTTTTTTTTTCCAAGAAACTTTGGTGTAAAGAGATCAGAGAGGTGACAACTGGAACAAGTCAAGGCAATTGAGGTGAGGAAGTCTTTTGATTTAAAGCTCGCTGATGCTTAAGCAGCTTGTAGCCTTTGGGGACCAAGTCTTCCCTAAGAGGAATCTAAGGGTCTAAGAGAGAGGGGAAATAACTGGGTAAACGCTCACAAAAAATGAGACAGTAGAAAGGAAGCAGTTCATCTGGAAGACTGGTTTACAAGAACTCTCTCACTCTTCTTACTAAACTATGATGCTGTCACTAAAATGTGAATATTTCATCCAAGTTTTTGGAATATTTAATCAGAAAGTTGTGGATTTTTACATTAATTTTGCTATCTTGAAACATTGCATTAGAGTATTTTTCTTGATTATGAAGTTTTTGTCCTTTAAACTTTGCACCAGAAACAATCACCCTACTCCCAGCCCTATCTGAAACAGACACACCTTATCTACCAATGAAGATGTTGTTAGGATTAATCATCAAGGAAAGAGGCTAATTCTAGAAAAGCACTGGAGACTAGAAGTATATTAGGGACTTAGGCAGAGATGGACACTGCCTGTATTCAGAGATGTGAAGGTCCTGGGTTCCAGGAAAGCAGACACATTCAATGACATCCCTAAAAGGCCACTATACAGAAAGGCACCCACAAGGGACACATCCCTCCCCCTGACAGGTGGGCCTGGCCTTGAGCATGAGCACGTATGATAATTGCCATTGGATGCTCACTAAGTCATTCTTCTATGATCTAACCCCTCTAACTTCAGTAAAGTCTTCTTTCTACCAATGACAAACTATTGCCCAGCAAAAATATCCCAGACTCCAGCTAATAAATTCACATTATCCCCAAATTGTGGACCCATGCAGTACATTTCCTCATTTTAATACATTCCTTTCTTTTCACACAACACAATTTATGTCCTTCCTCTTGGGACAGCTTCTTCTCTATCTCTGTCTGATATACTTATGCAATAGATTTACGAGTTCTATATCTTTGCTGCTTTTCTAACAATATAAGGTGCTACCCACACAGTTGATTGACACAGTGTTTTTATTTTTTGTTGAAACCTAATTCAATTCTTCATTGCCACTGATTTTCAGTGTTCATTGGTGATAAAGAGAGAACAAGGGAAACAACTTGTGACTATCAGAGTTCACAGCATTATTTAAAAAATAGCTAGTTGATGGGAAACTGTCCCACAAACCGATCATGGAAACTTAAGTCAGTGTTTGGTCAGGCATCCACAAAGAAATAGACATCCACTGACACTGTCTTTGCCAAGAATGTGATGGTAAACATTTAACAACTAGCTCTCCAGAAAATAAAAAAGCCCTAACTTTTTTGTATTGAACAATTTCCATAGTGAAAATGCTCTTACAATGATGGATTTCAAGTTGCCCACCTGATATCCCTGAATGTAGAATGGAAAGAAGTCACGAAACAACATCCTTCTGTGAAATTTCTGCCGTAAACATACAATCAATGCATAAATGTACAGGTAGTTATAAAATAGCAAAGAAGTGACAAATTTTGAGCGTTTATTAGTTTAAAAAATTTAGCTTAGTTCTAAGTTTACACAATTCAATTTTTAAGAGTGGCTTGCAAAACTTTTGAAAACTTAACAGTCATAATGAGCCTGTGTGACAGAGCTCCAGGACAGCCTACTCCTTACTACCCTTAGTGAAAAGGAGTCGGTTATAAGGAGACAGACATGAAGCATAAACCTCCTTATTGATAAGATTAGCAGCAGCTCAGAGGAATGGTGCTGGCCTGCATCAAAGGAACAATGGCAGAGAAACTGGGAGACAGAGCAGAAGGAGCTTTTCAATGCAAGGGTTCAAAAGTAAAATGCACAATCACAACTGTCTTACCCTCTGAAAAATTATTGATGCATGGATCTACCTAGTTTTGTGCTATACAAGTAAGACCATGCTACTGTATTTGCCCTACTCCACTAGTCTGCTGGGTAACTTTTTGTTTAGAAACTTGAAAAGCTTTTCCTTTCTAGGAAACAAGGATCACTCTGGAGTTAGAAAATGGGGCTCATTGTAAGGATGGTTAGTCTTCTCAAAAATAATACAAGGGGTTGTTATTATAAAATAATGCCTCTAGGATACTTTTAAAAAAATAAAATTTATCACGCTTGGGTTGGAGGAAACATTACATTCTCCCCAGTCTTATGTCAAAGTCACAGCAGTTTGGAAGAATGTCTTTGTACCATCTCTGGATGGGCCATGGTCTGGACCCACATTTCCAGTGTTCAGTCACCAGAATTGAAAGGCCTGGACCTAGGATGTGTGCAAATTCTAATTATTGGGGGGATGCTTATTCTGGAGAGAGGCAAGAAAGCCGACTGCTTATTATGGGTTGCTCCAGAACTCCAGCCCATCACACCTTGGAGAAAGCAGAGAATGCAGAATTGGAACTACTGTCTTGAACCTGCAGCCATTTTTATGCCTAGTGGCAAAGCAGAATACTGTAAAGCAACTTTTTCATGAATGTAGCTATTATATATTATTATTTTCTATTTGTGTGCTACTTAATAAATTGTCATCCTTTGAGCAAATTACATGTTGATTGCTTCTCTATTCTGGCTATGAAGTCTGCCAGTCAGACAAGGCATTCCTGGCATAGGGCAGTGGTTTTCCAATGATCTTCCTAATAGGAGACACTTCCTAAGCTGTTCCTCTCTGCTGTTGACTTCTGAGTAAGATTTTATTTGATAAAAGAGTTTCCCCGGCTCAAAAGTCAAGTTCAGAAACCACTGGTAAGAGAGAAAAGAGTCTGTACCTATGTTACATGACAAAAGTAAGAAAGGATTAATCTGGAAGCATTGGAACGTCATTGTTGGAATTTATACTTTGATACAAGCCAGTTGGTTTAAAGCTAAAAGAGATGTGAAAAAAGCCATCAATATTAAATTGAAGATTGTTGTCCTGATATCATTCTTACTCAAGGACTATTGATTTTTTAAAAAATCAAGCTGTTTAAAAATGTTGTGCTAAGGATGAGACCATATTCAATGACAAATGGACTGCATAAACTGTCTTCCCAGAGCCTTATCAAAGCTTTTCACATGGTGCTTGGATAGTTCATTTTTTGATGGGCAGAATCTGAGTCGTGCACCCTTATCTGGCTTCATTATTATGGATATGAACATGGTTCCCGAGACTCTCACTGGCTCCACAAAAGAAGATTTTTAAAAAGGCAGCCTGATAAATTCCCCATTCAATGAGAGCTAAGGAGTGTTTTATTCCACTGTACTGTAGTTTAAAGGCATGTGACCTGAGTTTCTGCAGGAAGTTGTTTTTAATAGGGAAACTATTTAGGTTACAAACCTTGAAACCTCCTTCTCTTCCTCTAAACTCAATTTAAGTGCTTTTCCCCTCACATCTATTTATGCAAGAGAGCCTGGAATGAAAGAAAGGAATCTGGAAAGAGGAAATTGAGAGCCTTGCCAAACACCTGGAAAGGCATTTAAGAAGAACATGCAATTCACTTCATATGAATTCAGATCCACCCAATTCACATCTGAAAAAAAGAATAGTGTTTGATCTGATGCCCCAGAGGACCACATTTCTACTACTGATGCTCTCCAGTATGTGCCCTTGATCCCTTGTTTTTTCATGACTCAAGGTTGGAAAGGCCTTAACTAGTCAGTCAGGAAAGGAAGACTCTTATCATTAGGGTGAGTAGTATCAGGCTCTCAGTTTCTTGGCAAGGATATTCACTACAGGCTGGGCATTATGCTAACACTATCCGATTTATTTCTTATAGAAACTCCAAGGAATGAAACCTTATTATCTCTGCGGTGTAGGTTAGGTAATTGAGGTTTAGAGATATAGTATGATTTACCCAAGGTCACTCAACCAGCAAATGATAGAAAAGGGTGTGACTCCCCGAGCAGTGGGACCCCAGGCCTGAGCATTTCACTACAGATCCTACCACAGTGGAGCCAAAGGAGACGGCGGAGCCGTGTGACTCGTCAATGCAGGGACGGAGAGACAGCAAAGGTCAGGAGCAATTGTTCTTTTTCTCGTAAGGGCTATTTTAGGCCTTGCTTCTTAGCATTCATCTATGCACTAGAATACTTTTTGTTTCCATTCATAATGCAAAATTGTCTACATCTCTAAAATTTTATTATGAGCCTTATGTAATAATTTGTATAAGGTCAAATTTGCATAAGTCAAGTGTTAAGTAACCGGTTAGCATCTGCACATCACTATCTGTAACTAAATAGAAAGGGAAATGAGAAAGACTGGTAGGATAGGTTTTTTACACAGAACCTGAGAGAGAAAGGATTGTAGGGAATAAAGAAGTGGGCATGGAGAGGCAAACAG